GAATCCCCTTCACCCATGAATGCTCTGTGACAAAGTTTGGTCAAAATTGGCCCAATGGTTCTGGAGAAGTTGGAAATGTGAAAAGTTAACAGACGGACGGACAGACGGACAGACAGACAGACTACAGACAAAATGTGATCAGAAAAGCTCACTTGGGCTTTCAGCTGAAGTGAGCTAAAAATTAATGCATTTTCACTACATAATCAATAGAGCCCTGCCCTAACACCAGAACCCCTGACCCTGGGGCCATGAAATTCACAATTTTGGAAGAGGCTCTCTTGCTCATCATAACTATATACTTAGTTACTTTATTTAATACCCAGGAGCAGAGAAGAAGGTTTTCAAAGAATTAATGCATTTTCACTATAGAATCAATAGAGCCCCGCCCTAACACCAGAACCCCTGACCCTGGGGCCATGAATTTCACAATTTTGGAAGAGGCACTCTTGCTCATCATAACTATGTACTTAGTAACTTTATTTAATACCCAGGAGCAGAGAAGATTTTCAAATAAATAATGCATTTTCACTATATGATCTATATAGCCCCATCCTGGGGCCAGAACCCCTGACCCTGGGGCCATGAATTTCACATTTTGGAAGAGGCACTCTTGCTCATCATAACGACAGTACCGACCAGACACAACCTAACACCAGAGCGAACCCAAAGCGGACGCCGGGTTCGCTTTCTGGGTTCGCTCGGGCTCCGCTGCTGGTCCATTTTCAGAAATTTTGGGTTTGCTCTGGGTTCGCCTTGGGTGCGCTTCGGGTTCACTTGGCGTCAGCTCTGGGTCCGCTAGAGCGAACCCGGCGTTCGCTTTCTGGGTTCCCTTTACGCACTCATGCGTGAAGCGGACCCCGCTTTAATCTTGCCGCCAGTAAGCCCCGCCCCTTGTATATTTCAAATACAGTAGTGAAATCGATCATTGTTGTTTCTGAGGCAATCGATACATGTGCATGTATAATAGCTGCAGCGTTATTGTTGACAACATATTGGAACGATCACGTTACAAGAACGATTCCGCAAGATTAATCCTTCACTCACACGACTCTTCATGTTACACGATCATTCACGACTGTTAAGGCAAATGCAAGATTTTTGTACGCAAAATAGTTAAAAATATTAAGGAGTGGATATTTTTTAGACGAAATTAGGCTTAATTTATTTAATAGATATTTTAGATTAAAAATATTTACTGCTGAAATTCATCGACTTTGGAGAACTGAAAGAAAAATAAAATAGTTAGAAATGGATATTTTTTAAACTACATGTAAATAAGACTTAATAGTCATTTTAGATTACAAATAATTATTTATGTAATTCTCAGACTTAGGAAAATTGTTTTTTTTTTAATGTTTTTGACATGTAAACATGTAATTTATGATCGAATGCTGCATTTTCTATCACATGATATAGGTTGGGTTTTGATTCAATTGGATTTTATGATATGCAGTAAGGGGGTAGATTTTTAAAAATGGCCTTAAAATGAATTAAACTATAATCATTTTTCCATTTATGAATTTAAAAAATCAGCAATCTTTTTTTTTAAAAAAATCATTCATTTGCAGAAATTATATATAAAAAAATAATAACAAGTATCAGGGATGAAAAGTAACCCCGACAATCATGAAGTGTACATTTGCCGCTTAAATATATGTAAGTATCGGGATTTTTTTTTCCCTTTCTTTCTTTTTTTTTTCTTTTTTTTTTTTTTTTGTAAAAATATACATTTTTGATGTATTGATATAAAAATACCATGACTACAATTAGCAGTTTACATAATTAACATCAGAGAAAAATCGTTAAACATCTTAAATACGCTTTATCAGTACATGTAAAAGTTACGATATTTTAAGAGAATACAATACTGTACGACTTACTATTTTGCTTAGTTACTCCGATAATTAGTTCGTTCAATTATATAAATCGCGCTTCAAAAAAAAAAAAAAAAAAAACAAGCTAAATCAAGATTAACATTATTTTTTGTAAAAGATTAATCAAATTAATACCATAATGTAGTAGTTTACGATTGGACATACATGTACATGTACATTTATGCTGTTCATTCATTTTTTTTTCTATTTTCAATTAAGAAGATCAATTATTTTGATGTTGATCTGGATTTATACGAAAATGTACATTAGAATTATAAAAATAAAATAATTAAATAAAAGCACGTCTATATACATAATCTTGTACAGTATCTTGAGATGATGAAATGCTATAACTTGTCAAAAACCATTTTTTTTAGTACAATTGTAATAACCATTGCTTTCTCTCTTTTTTTTTCGATTATATATTAGGGTATGTTTTGTCTGATAAATTTACGCAATGTATATTAATGGATTTTGAAAATGAAAAAAAAAATGTGTAAATATAATATGCTACCTGGATATTTAAAATATATCAATTTAATTTTTTTTTATAATGTTAAAAATAGTTTCACACTGTGCATTAACACGCTTTGCTTGTACAATGTTTTATTTACATCGAATGAAAAACTGGCATGCTGATTGGTCGACCCGCTGATTGGTTAACCCATTTTATCGCTAATCCTGATTGACAACTCTGTTACGCAACACCGAACGCGCGTTCGCTCTTTGGGTTCGTTACTGAATTTGGGGTTCACTTTCGGCGTTCGCTCTGGGTCCGCTGCGGGTTCGCTCGAGGTCCGCTGCGGGTTCGCTCGGGGTCAGCTATAGCGAACCCCAAGTGAACCCGAAGCGAACCCAGAAAGCGAACCCGGGGTGTGCTTTGGGTTCACTTTCTGTTAGGTTGTGTCTGGTCGGTACTGTATGTACTTAGTAACTTTATTTAATACCCAGGAGCAGAGAAGAAGATTTTCAAAGAAATAATGCATTTTCACTATATGATCTTTATAGCCCCACCCTGGGGCCAGAACCCCTGACCCTGGGACCATGAATTTCACAATTTTGGTAGAGGATTCAATGCTTATTACAATGATGCCAACAGTTTGACTGCTTGATGTCCAGGAGTTAAGAAGAAGATTTTTTTAAAGATTGCATTATTTTGGTGGTTTTAGCCCCACCCCTCAGGCCCCAGGGGGGCAGGGACCATGAAATTCACAATTTTTGTTCCCCTTCACCCATAGATGCTATATGCCAAATTTAGTTGCAATTGGTTAAGCTGTTTCAGAGAAGAAGCTAAAAATGTTCAAATGTTAACACAAGACGCACGATGCAGGACGCACGCCGACGGACGAGAATGGATAGCAATAGGTCACCTGAGTGACTCAAGTGACCTAAAAATATGCAACTGGAAATCCCCAACAGGCTTTCTGCCATTTTGGTCTAATACTGCGTTACGTGCAATTACAATTATACTTGTAGGTGTCAATTAGTAAAGTAGAGAGTACGAAAATCGCTGTTAGTGGATAAGGGCGTTGTACACACCACTTGTTTACCATATAGCTAACAGTTGCTACAGTGGTTATTCAAAGAAGCAATACCTTAAAAAATTTCCATTACACATTTTCCAACAAATGTATAGCTACATGTATAGTCTGAAAACTCGTCGATCATCCCCCCTCCAGTTGCTTGTGATTTATATGCAAAGCTACCTCTTATGGACTCCTAAGGTGATGGAGAAGTGTATAGATATTGAATAAAGTCAAGCGTAAACCGAGGCACCCCAGGAATCCAAGATGACGAGTGTCAAACCTTTTGTTTTATTATATACAGAAGTCTGATCTTTTTTTTTAAATTCTACAGTGTAATTTAAGCGACTTTGTATATTAATGAATGAATTCAGACACAACTAGAAAAACACATAATACACAATTATGAAACCAATCGACTATGGTTGAATAACATCAATCACTGTGGGCTTTTTAAACCTTCTGAAAGACTTTTTAAAGATACAAGAGAAAGAAGTGGTAGTGAAATATTTTGCCTAACATTTGGTGAACCACGTTAACAAAATTTAAGAGAAACTATATGTTATTGCCTTATAACATTTTTATTGATACTTTTACTAAAACGGAGAATTGTGGCTAATAAAGCCATTTTAATTTGAACGTTAGCAAATTAGGATTGACACTTGAAATTTCTATATACTTGCATAACTGTTTTTTTTGTGTGTATATTTAAAATCTTTTCCAGAATTTTTCACTCATATTGAGAAGCACCACTTGTCTGTAGAGGGCTGTAAATTTAGATCTATCTCGGCTGTTACGGCTTTTGAACACTGAGGGATCTTTTTTGTATCAGCACCTACTGTGACAAAGAACCTCTGTTTATACGGTCTCATCCAAAGGACCCGTCTTCACGTCCCACAGTGGGATTCAAACCCACATCGTAAGGATAAATTTGCATAATTGTAACAATGTCAAAAAAAAGTTCTCTAGAAGCGTTTGCTGCTCATAACTGCAAACTAGCGGCCCTTAAAGAAAGGCCGAGGCCAGGCGAAGAGTAATTTCGGATTGTGCACAATGCCCCAAAGGAACTTTTTTGGGAGACAATAAAATGTTAAAAAAACAACGTATATACGACTTCATATGATTTCAAAGTCTCAAACATTCAAATGTATCCTCGTGTGGTTTGAAGATGCTGATACAAGTTTTATTTTAAAGCGAATATGTATCAAACGGCTGTGCTCGCCCAAGTGATAGCACTGTCAAAATATTACTTATTCTAATACAACAAGCAATTTAAATTCAAAATAATTGTAATGAATTTCAAATTGCAAACATTGCTTAGTGCTTCCCAGTACTTTCAGTACTTTGATTTTTAAAACGTAATTTGTTCAATGCTATAAGACTTAGTTCATAATGTTTTTAGAAACTACAATGAATGAAAATCACTCTGCACTAAGTCTGAATTCTTTGTAAGAATTGCTTTGTAACCATGATTTACTGAAGCGGCAAAGATTTGCCTTTAGACATTGGAGGGAGAGACAGACAGGCAGGGTGATTCAAGTATCCCTACCCAAACTTTGTTTGAGGGGAGTAGAATATAATAAAGAACTAAAGATAAACATACGGTTTCTAAAAACAGCTTCATGTATTGATGTGTCTTGCCATGCTGGATGCGTGAAAATATCCTCTCCAAGTTTGTCTATCAATTGGTCGGTTTGCTTTGGTAATAACCAGCAAAAGACTTCACCCTCTTTCTTTGGATAGACCCATGATCTGCAATACTCCGCTATGTTTTCTTTTTCTGACCAAATCAGAAACATATCCACAAATTTTGGATCTTTTGCAAATCTAAGAAAACTGGTGTGTTTGAAGAATTCACAACCAAATGTTACCCCGGGGCCATCTTGTTTAAGTACTGGTTTGTACTTTTTCATTTTGCTAGGATCAGGTTGCTTCTTAATCTTCTTGAATTTAAACACTTTAGCCGCAGCATTATATTTCTCCATCCATTGTTCTTCTTCAAGACTTAGTTTGTAGTTCTGGCAAAGAAGAAGGCATATCAACACTGCATCTCCATCTACAAACAGAGTTATACATGTAAAAGTTAACCTTTTCACTGATTTCATAAAAGTTACAAGTAATCCGAAGCAATACATGCTTATTATAAGCCCCAACGAATTTTAACTTAATCAAATTAATAAAGATTATATATATACTAAAAATTGTGTTTACACCAAAGTTTTTATCATGGTTTTTTTCAGTATCATTAACATGATTAAGTTATATGATGTTGAGCAGCATAGGTCAGATTGATGAACATTTTTCATTTATCAAATTTAAAGTAAAATTCAAGGCCTCATATTGAAATATCTATTTTTTTATATATACATTGTGACTTTACCAAATATAAATAAATATTAGAATGGGTTATGATCCTCAACAAAGTTCTGTGCCTTTTTTAATTAATGTTTAAGTAATCACTGTCTAGTTTGTTGGGTATGACATGGCATCAACGATAGCTGGAAACTTCGGATAATTAAATTAAATTATCCAACGTTTTCAACTATCGTTGATGTCCCTGGCATACCCAACAAACTAGACAACGATTCCTTATATTTTCATTTATAAGCTGTTCTTGAGAAAAAGATTTCAGAGAATTTTTTCCTATACATCCATATGTTAAACTCTGATAATGCATTGTGGCTTCTGAGGATGCTTTCATATCAATATGACTTATCGTGGCTTTGCTGTTCTTGAGAAGAAGATTTTTGAAGATTTTTCCCTATATATTCCTATGTAAAACTTTGATCCCCCATTGTGGCCCCACCCTACCCCCGGGAGTCAATTTCAGCAAACTTGAATCTACACTACCTTAGGATGCTTCCACATAAGTTTCATTTTTCCTGGCCCAATGGTTCTTGAGAAGAAGATTTTTAAAAGATACCACTAAATTTTCACAAATTCTCAATTATCTCCTTGAAAGAGGGTGTGGCCCTTCATTTGAACAAACTTGAATCCCTTTTATCCAAGGATACTCTGAACTAAGTTTGGTTGAAATCGCCCCCGTGATTCTTGAGAAGACAAGAGGCCCAAGGGCCTTAACGGTCACCTGAGTACAATACAACAATTTAGAGGATCCATAGAGTATTAAAATGAAATGAAAGGTGAAGCTTTGTTGCCCAAAAGCAAGAAAAATAGGGTGATCAGGATCAACAAAATAATTAGTCTACTATTCATTAACAGTTCATAAATTAGGTTCTAATCTGTTCCCCATTTATCACTATCACCATACAGCATATTAACAAAATATCAGTGCTTTTGTACTATTTTAATTCCTTGTTGTAATCTCTTACATTGGCCTCTCTAACATTTAAGTTATTTTTGTCTCATTTTTATTTATCTATTACTTACAAGTCCACATGATCATTAAAACTAAGAAAATACTTTTTGTATTATACAATAAAAATTCTTGCATAATTCTCTTATTCTATTAATTTTTCAAGTACATTATTTACAGTGATTAATTATCAGAAGTAAACGGCAAAGGGGAATAACTCCTCTCAGTAGAATGCAAATTAATTGAGCCCTGGCTAGGACCAGAACACTTGACCAAATGGTCCAGATGTTCAAAAATCTGGTAAAAATACCCTTCCTTATTACAACTTTTACACTTTTTGCCTCTGATATGCCCAAGTGCAGAGAAGATTTTTAAAGAAATAATGCATTTTCACTACAGATTCACTATATTATCAATTGAGCCCCTCCCCCCCCCCCCCCCTTCACCACCGAGAAACACCAGAGCCTCTTACCCTGGGACCAGAAGTTTCAAGTTTGCTCATCATAAATAATCACTTTGTTTAACTGCTTAACATTAAGGAGCAGACAGGATTATTTAATAGAATTAATGCATTTTCACTACATTATCAACAGCCCCACCCTTATACCAGCACATCTGACCCAGGGGTCATGCAATTCATTACTCTGAAAGAAGCACTCTTGCTCATCATAACTATATACTTAGCTTCTTTGCTTTTTAACCAGAAGCAGAAAAGAATATTTTCAAAGAAATTTTGATTTTTCACTATATAATCAATAGAGCCCCCCCCCCCCACCTTTTGACCAGAACCCTTGACCCTGGGGCCATGAAATTCACAATTTTAAAAGAGGCATCCTTGCGTATCATAACAATGTACTTAGTTTGTTTAAATAGTACCCAGGGGCAGAGAAGAAGATTTTCAAAGAAATAATTCACCTTCACGGTATGAGCTATATAGCCCAACCCTAGCACCAGAACCCTTGTCCCTGGGGCCATGAATTTCACAATTTTGGAAGAGATGTCCCTGCTTATCATAACAATGTACTTAGTTTGTTTAAATAATACCCAGAAGCAGAGAAGAAGATTTTTAAAGCATTAATGCATTTTCACTATATAATAAATAGAGCCCCGCCCTAACATCAGAACCCCTGAACCAGGGGCCATGAAATTCACAATTTTGGTAGAGTCACTCTTGCTTATCATAACTATGTATTTAATTTGTTTAAATAATACCCAGGAGTAGAGAAGAAGATTTTCAAAGAAATAATGCACTTTCACTATATGATCTATATAGCCCCCCCCCCAGCACCAGAACCCCTGACCCTGGGGCCATGAATTTCACAATTTTGGTAGAGGGCTCAATGCTTATTACAATCATGTCAACAGTTTGACTGCTTGATGTCCAGGAGTAAAGAAGAAGATTTTTAAAGATTGCATTAATATTGATGGTTTTAGCCCCACCCCTCAGGCCCCAGGGGGGCAGGGACCATGAAATTCACAAATTTTGTTCCCCTTCAGACATAGATGCCATATGCAAAAATTGGCTGAAATTGGTTGAGCGGTTTCAGAGAAGAAGCTGAAAATGTTCAAATGTTAACACACGATGCACGACGGACGACGCACGACGACGGACGAAAACAGATAGCAATAGGTCACCTGAGTGACTCAGGTGACCTAAAGATGAAAATGTGAAAAGTTTAGGACAATGACGATGACAGACAACGGATAAATTTTGATCAGAAAAGCTCACTTGAGCCTTCGGCTCAGGTGAGCTAAAAATGCTGTATAATAGATTTAAAATACACAAGGCCTCCCATGTTAATTTCAATAGTCCCCGCCCACTGACGTCAGACACAAAGACAGCCGCACAAGAGGCTCCTGACCTTTCACCTGGCAAAATTAACATTCCGGTGGAATTACTGAAAAAGTACTTTTTTCCACAGGGTCATAATTCTGCGGGATCACAATATCAGTTTAATCCACAGATGAAATATTACGCGGATTCTTGACATCTCCAAAAAAAATTATAGTGATCTACAATGAACATATGAGAGAAAAATTTTCATTGTTTTGCTCAAATGCTTCTATTCTGTGCTTATTAGTGTTTTCAAAGATCAACTTTGCAAGTACAATGGTCAAATGACTTATAACAACATACGTAAAGTGTATGCAGTACGTATACGTTCCCGCCAGCTGTACATCGGATCTCACTAGAAACGTGATTTTTTTTCTGAGTGTTTCACAGATCAGAAGTCAAATGAGCTTAAAAAAAAGGGGGGTGGGTTCATAAACACATTCATCTACAATTATCAACACAGAAGCCTATTCATGTTGTTGTTGGGTGGCTGATCAATGCACACCAGTCCGTTCAAACAGAAACCCTACTGTCAGGCATACCAGTAAATGTGATTTTTCAGAAGTAACTGATTTTGATGAACGGATTTATTTTAATATACATGTCATAATTTTTAAACCGAATATTAAATATTTTGAACTTCATTAGTAGCCAATTTCTGGGTTCAGATCCATTTAAATCAGGTGTTGATCAATTCAATCAATTACGAGTCAAAACACAAAGGGATCTGAAAACTGCAGTAAAAACACGGGTCTTGGCGTCTATAAGATTGGATTATTTACTCAGATCCGCTTGAAGACAAGTCGTGTAACACGTGCCGTTATCTCAAATTGTGGGAGAGGGAAGTTCAAGTTTAATGCAGGCATATTTAGTCCACAAAAAATATTTATTTTAGAGAATGAAGTTTTTATTCTGTCAATTCATAGAACGCCTTTACATGTTTTACGTTGTTTGCACCTATATCGAGGATAGATATACATAGAAGATATATACATGTATACGTGTACGTGTTTAATGATGTACTACCTTTATAGCCTAGCTCATTTATTTAATGCATTTTCATTTCTAATTTCACTTTAAGTACGCTGTGACAAATATCCGCGAAATTTTTTAACCGCTTTCATAGCGTAAATTATTCATATGCAGAAAAAAGTCCGTCTACAGTATTATAACAGTCCAGTGATTTGACAGATTAGTTTTGTACAGAGTCATTGAACCTGATTATAGTTGACATTGTAGGAAAGTTGAGATGAACTTGTATATGTGTATATCTACTTGACATTGCAGGAATATGTGTAATTTATGCCTTGCATGCAGTTGAATAGGTGATTATTGACAAGTTCAAGTGATTTGTACGTGTTAAAACAGTTTGTGCACATGTTTTGAGTTACGTAGAAATCAGCTGGTCATAGCTGTAGCAAATTGTGGTATTTTTAGCTTACTTCATATGTCAGGGACATTTAATTGGTATTCTGTAGTTGATGAACTATAGCTTTATAGATGAAGTCATATTTTCTTGTAGTTTAGCTTGTTTTCAATTGATTTTCGGTGGTTATTGTCTTGTTGTAAACTGACATTGACAGGAATTGTTTACGAACTTTGTCGTCGTAATTGCGGGAGGTCGAGCCCGATCGTAAATGTTACGATACTTTGGATTTTTTTGGAGTTAATCGTGTTATTTGTTGTATTAAATGGATAATGGTTTACTTATTTCGATTTAGGAATGTATTTGGTGATTACTTTAATTCAGAATAGTTGTCTTGTAGGTAGTTATTAGATTTTTCTATAGACTTTGCCGCTTACGGGAGATGTCACGAGAGATTCTCCAACATTTTCCTACGTTTCCAACATTTTCCAACTTTTACGTCATGTCTTCGCATAAAAAGGAGGGATTCAAGGAATTTTT